TGCTGCTATTGGATTATTTGGGTAGTGGGCGCTTTTCCACAAAATTTTGTATTGTTTCCCACATTTTATATATCTTCCCAATCTCACTTGGAATGAGGGATTCCTCTTCCTATTTCTCCTCCTCTCCAGGGATGTCCTCATCACTTTTTGCTGTTGGGAGCCCATCACCCACAATCCTGCAGAGAGGGAGGGGAGAGAGGAGAGAAAGAGAAAGAGAGAAGAACACTGACTCAGTTGTGATTGTATGATGTTTAGTGTCACGTACCACTCATATTGCAAGACAGGGCTCTTTTATCAAGTTAAAATTTATGAGAAATGTTTGCTTGTCTTGTGGAGCATTCACAGAACCAATTACTGCCAATCCAAAGTTTTACTGTAATGTTATCTGTAAACAGAAATAAGTTTGCCTCTCTGTTTCCATTTGTATCCTTTTGGGTTTTCTTTTGTTTTGTTTTTTTCATGTCTAAATCCTATGGCTAGAACTTCTAAACTACTTTGCAAAGTAGTGGAAAAAGTGGATGTTCTTGTCTTTTTTATCCATTGAGTACAATGTTGGCTGTGGGTTATAATTTATTATTTAAAGCATGGAAATAATGACATATCTTGGTGATTACAGCCTATGGAAGTAAAAATGTATGAAAACAATAGCACAAGTTTGAATCCAGAAAAAAGGACATATTATTGTAAGGTCCTTACATTTTATGTGACTAGATGTAGTACTATTTGAAGATAGACTAGCGTTTCCTCTATTAACCACTCAAAAATACTGACTTACAACTAATAAAACAATGAATTGAGTAGAGATGAAAATGAAAACAAAATCAATCTAAAAGAGAATATAAAAGAAGGAAAAATGAAATCAGATAAATACAAATAGCAAGATGGTACAGTGAAAACTAACCATATGAATAAGTGTATATAAATGACCTACAAACTCCAGATAAAAAACACATTATTAAGCTGAATAATAAAGAAAGAGCCAACTACTTTATACTTTTCATAAGAAGCACTTAAGAGACACAAGTTAAATGCACAGGAAAAGGTATACACACAAACAATAATCATACAACTGGAGCGGCTATGCTATCAGGCAAAGTCAACTTCAGGGCAAGGATTAACAGTGATCTTGACTCAAAAGATGTATTCAACACAAAGACCTACCAGTTCTAAATGTTTATGTACCCAATAACAGAGTCTCAAAGAACATGAGACAAAAACTGACAAAACTGGAAGGAGAAGTAGACAAATACACAATTATATGTGGAGATGTTATCACTCTTCTTTTAGGAAGTGATGGACTATGCAAAAGCAGAAGGAAAACCAGTGAAAATGTACAAGTATGAAGAGAGGTATCAGCCAGTTTGACCTAACTGATTGTAGCTACTAGTGACATACAGAGCAGCAGACTGCATATTGTTTTCAGATACACAGAATGTTTGCCTAAGACAGACCACATACAGCACCAGAGAGGGGGTCTGAAGAAATGTAAAAGGATTAGGATTAAAATCATATGGACTGTATTTTCTGATCACAATAAAATTAAATTAGAAATCAATGAAAAATGTATCTGGAACATACCTGAATATTTAGAAATGAAGTCATTTCTAATAACCTATGGATCTAAGAAGAAATCACAAAAGAAATTAGAAAATATTTTTAACTGAATGAAGTGAAAACATACTGAAATTTGTGGGATTTATCTTACACAGTGCCCAGGAGAAAATTTACAGCTTTAAATGTTTATATTAGAAAAAAGGAAGTTTAAATCAATTACTTTGGTCTTTCTCTTTAAAGAGTTAGAAAAAATAACAAATTTAACCTAAATTATGTAAAGGGAAGGATGTAATAAATGTAGTTTATCATAACAAAATATTTTTTAAAGCACATGATCATCTCAAAAGAGAAAACTTTGACAGTGTTACATCTGTCTGTGTCTAAAACAAAACAAATCCTGTCAGGAAAGTGGAACCAATAGGGAGGTTCCTCCATAAAGGGCATCTAAACAGTAGCTCTCAGTACACTCAGGGCAGAAAAACTGAGCACTTACCACTAAGATCACGGAAAAAGCAAGGGTGTCCATTCTGGCCACTTCTTCTCAACACTACTAAAGATAGTATTCCGTGCCATAAGGCAAAAAAACCAATCAATAGATAATATATATTTATATATAATATACATAAATTATATGTATGGCATAAAGATTGGAGAGGTAGAAGTAAAGTTATCTTTACTTACAAACAATGCAGTCGTGAATGAGTAGATGTAGAAAACCCTAGGGAACTGCAGAACAGCTACTGAGAAAAGTGAATTTGATGAGGTTGTGGGGTATAAGGTATACACAGTAAGCCAGGCACGGTGGCCCATGCCTGCCTGCAATCTCAACTGCTCAGGAGGCCGAGGCTGCAGAATGGAAAATTGGAGGTCAGCTTGTACAGCTTAACAAGATCCTGTTCAAAATTAAAAAATAAGAAAGACTGGGGATGTAATTCATTGTCTCTGGGTTCAATTGCAAATGAAATGTATACATAGTGAATTGTGCTCCTATTTAAAAATGAAATTAAAATACCAGTTACTGTAACATAAAAATTAAATACCTGGGAATATATTTAGCAAAAATGTGCAGAAGGGAAGAAAGAGGGAGGAGGAAGGGAAGAGAAAGAGGTGAAAAAAGAATTAGTATGTGTTATATATATATACACCAACTCTGCGTGAGAATGTACATTATGTATGGGAAATATGCACCAACAAAAATAAAACTTAGTTTAAAAAATCTACAGGACCTATAAAATGAAAAGTACAAATATTCCTTCACAGAATTAAAAAGGACCAAAATAAGTGGCAAGATTTACTATTTTTCTGATTTGGGAGATTTAGCATTGTGATATCATTTCTACCCAAATTGATCTATGGATTTAATTTAATTCTAATAGAAACACCTGCATGTTTGCCAAGGAGAAATTGGCCAGCTGACTCTAAAAGTGTGTAAAAAATGGAAGAATTTGTAGTAGCCAAATTGTTTTGGAAAAAAACACAAAATCTTGACTATCTAACATCAAGATATACTATAGCAGTACAGTAGTCGTGATGATTTGGTATTGATGTATTGACTGAAAATAAAATAGAGTCTAGATATAGACCCCTCTCATTCTATAGGAAACTAATGTTAATATAATTTTAAATAGGACAGAAGGAAAGTCATATCAGTAAATGATTCTGGAACAACTGTATCTATATGGGAAAAATGAACCCTGATTCTTACAATATATGTACAATTAACTTAAGATGCATCACTTACCTGAGTGCTACAACTATAAAATTTCTAGAAGAAAGTCAAAAGTTGGTCAACAAAGATTTCTCAGGCAGGACACAAATGTACTACCATTTTTTAAAGGGACTTGGTAAATTTGGTTTCAGGAAAAACAAAAGTTTACATTTTAAGAGATATCATTAAGAATGAAAAGGCCACCTACAAGCTGGCAGAAAATATTTATAACACGTATTTGAAAAAGTGCTTGTGTCAAGAATATATAAAGAACTCAGCCAGGTATGGTGGCACATTTACCTCCCAGCACTCTGGGAGGCTGAGGCAGGAGGATTGCAAGTTCAAGCCTAACCTGAGCAACTCAGAAACTTAGCAAGTCCCTCTCTTGCTAAGTTTAAAATTAAAAGGGCTGGGGATATAGTTCAATCCCCAGTAACATCAATCAATCAATCAATCAATCAATCAAAATTCTTACAACTCAATACTGACACAACCCTCTAAGAAAAAGATGAGAGATGTATTTGAACAGACAAGTTGCAAAATGACACTAAATTAACCTGTACAGCAATTCTACTTTTAGATACTTTTACCAAAAAAAAAAAAAAAGTCCACAAAATAGACTTATATGTGAATTTTCACAACTTTATTTATGGAACATAAGCTGGAAATAGACCAACAACCAAGTGGATAAACACGTTGTGGAATGTTTACAAAGTGGAATAGTACTTGGTTACACGTGCCGCAGGATGGATATTCTGTGATATGAAATTAGAGAAAAGTGAAGCTTGTGTATAGTGACAGGAAGGTAGAGGCGAGGTCTAGAGGACTACGCTGAAATGAAGCTTGAGGGAAATTTGGGGGTGATGAAAATGTACAGTGTTTTAGTTAGAGTGGTACATTTGTACACTTCACATAAATTTTATGGTGTGTAAATTATCCTTCAGATCCATCTGAAAAAGTACAAAAGCAAAATGACAGGTCATACTAGAAAGTTATCTATCAAACACACGATCTGAACTTCTGATTCATAAAATAATCTGCATAATTGCTTTTATGTTTACTGGGTAGTGATGGAAATGTAGCTTAAAATAATGTTGAGTCTTGAGTGGTTCAGTAGGAAAACCTATGGCTGAAATTTTAATAATATGAAAGGAAGAACAAAAAAAGAAAGTAACAAATTTCATGGAACAAAATCATCTTTTATGAGAAATAGCTTTATTTGAAAATCAGAAGTTACCTAGGAGAGGGCTAACTTATAGTTTTTTTATTGAATAAGTGAAACTCTGTTGAATGTTGTACTGTGTGAACTTTTCTCATTACTAAGTTGGATCTAAAACATGGGGATTATTTTCTTTAAAAAATATTTCCCCTTGCAAGGCCTCATTGCATGTTCAATTTATTTTTCTTTCATATTTTTATGCCAAAATATAGTTTTATAGCTAAATTCTTTCTTGTGCACTTACCCATAATTATATGCCACATGTAAAATAATCCTATGCAATAGCACATTTTCATCATGATTTGATTATTTTGATTGTGCAAGAATTTTACATTACCCAGTATCCTCAGGCTTAAGTACTAGAAAATCCATGCACATACCTAACTAGAATTATATATAGTATGGCCTAGTATGCCTATGTTTGCAAGTAATTCCTTTTTCTTGCAGCATGATTCCCTATTATCATGACTCAGCTTTTGCAACAATGTATTCTACTTCTTACTGATGTAACCAAGTCGGAGGATGATTTAAATTTCCAGGATATTGTGACACTTTATAGGGACAGTGATGTAAAATATTTATAACTGGGATTATTCTATAAGGCCTGAGACATTTGATCATTATTTCATATGGTGTCTCCATCAATGTTTGCATTTAAAATTTATGCTTATGCTTCTACTTTAATTTTATATGAGACTTCACCACCATATGCTTCATAAGCATCCATTTGTAGTTTGACTTTTGAAATCATTTCTATTCAAATACATAGGACATAATAATTTTTGTAAAAGCATTGTTGGACAAATGAAGAAATGTAGCTCTGAGGAGAGGAAAGAATGTGTAGCTCAGGGTGCCACAGTTAGATGCTTGCTGTAGGAAGATAACTTTCTCCACTCTCAGAATGTTTGGCATCCAACCTAAATGCAACTGGCCGTCTCCCACCTGCACCTTACAGCTGAGATTCTCATCCCTCCTGTGGACCCCAGAGGGCCTCCTCCTCCTGCCTCCCACCCTCACAGCTCATTTTGCAAGTGGCAATTGTTGTCACCCCCAATATTTTTGCTGGCGGGGAAATATCCCTGAACTTGGCTGGCCCCTGGTGGTACATCATGCTGGATGCGTAGAGGGGTGACGCTGGGTGACCAAGGTTGAGGAAGCAGCTCAGAATTGCCATGGTCAGTGTCTTTGCCTGATGCCAGTAGGGTTCATGGCAGTAGCGTTTCTGATGTGAGACTTTTCTAGCTGATAAAAACTGAAGAAATAACCAACCTGCTCAGCACCTCAGCAAGTTCTACATGGTTTTTCTACAGCATTGTTAATGAGTTCTGAATTATCATAGCACTTCCAGTATTAGATTTTTCCTACCCAGCGGCAGGCCTTCCTGTTTGGTAGCTGGAAACACAACCTTGTCACACTAGACGTAGCATTTATCAAACACTCAGTATGTTCCATCCCTCCTACCAAGCTCTCATGTGGATAATCGTAGTTAACTTTAGCAGCGGCCTGGTGAAACAGATGATATGAGTAATACTGAGGAAACAAGCTTAAGGAGGTGTTGAGTAACTTGCCCAAGTTCACAAGCAAGGCAAGCTCCCAACCAGTCAGGCAGGCTCCGGACCCTGAGCTCTGAATGTTTCCCAGTGCTGTCCTGTCTGACTCGTTTACTTTGAAGACATTTTTCATGGTGGGATGTTTTGTTTTGTTTTGTGTCTGTATTAGAATACTTACTCCTCGACCGGATAGGCATGGCATCCCCATCTATAAAACCCCCTGCCACCAGTTAAGTGTTCAGGAAGTTTTGATCATTACTGCCTTCCAGAATGTGAAATAATGGGTGATGGTGCCAGATAATTTCTAACTGCTTACAATTCTTACATTTTAGGAGTAGTAGGACATGATTTGTTCAGATAGAAAATAACCCAAACTGCTTAAGAAAGGAATTTTGACAGCACTGATTTGAACTTCTATCCTGAGTTTAAGGTTGGTGTAGTCTCGGAACCTTGGGGCAGGGGCAGTTTCTCTTCTGTCACTCATATCCCCTTTGTTATGCTTTAAAGTTGCCCGAGTCAAAACAGCAAATTCCATCCCTTCCTGCTTCAGACGGGGAGGCTCTCACTTAGCTTTGCTACAAACAGCTCTGCATTCCAAGAAGACCTGCGTCCTTCTCCCTTCCCGATTCTCTGGCTAGCCGGTCATGTCTGATCATTACAAATGAAAGAAACCTTCAGACACAAAGGTATTTCACAGAACCCCAGAGGACTTAGGGGGCCAATAGGAGCTGCCTGGAATTTGCATCCCTAAGCTAAAGCTGAGTCTCAGGCCATTTTCCCATCACCCCTCCTTTGTTCCTTCTCTGATTATTTGACCCCTAACATCTTTTATCCTTTCACTCTCCTGAACTTATCATTTGCCTCCTCACCTAGTAAACTGAAACAAATCCAGCCACTGCAAAAGCAGTATTTCTTTTCACCAGTGACACAGTGATATCCCCTTCTAATCTCACCCCCAAAACCACATTTTGAAGGGAAATCTTATCTTCCCCCATAAGGCAATAACTTCTGTATGAACTCCTGTCTCAGCCAGTATCACAGCCTATGCATCATTTTGGATTTTCGGTGCCCTTCCTCACCATCAATGCTAACATGCTCCTATTTCCAGGCGCTTTCTTTACATGAGGATTTAATAAACAATCCATTTAATTGGGAAGTTCCTAAGTATAATGAATCCACTGTCTAAGGAAAGATGCCACATCCGTGTTTAATGGGCACACTCTGGATTGCAACGGATGCTTAGGGAGTAACAGAGTAAAATTTTTCTTGCCCCGTCATTTACGTCAGTACGTGCTGGCCTCCTGCTGCCTCAATACGCTGTCTCAAACCAGAGTTTGGGATGGTTCTTCACACTCCAACACAGTTCATATTCTACTTATCTCACAGGGTCTGTTCCATACTTGTTTCTGAGTTGTTAATTGGCTCTCCTTATTATCTTTATGTTCAGATTATATCCAGTGCCCATACTGTATGAGGAGATTTAATGAAACCGCAGCCAGTCGGCATATTAATTTCTGCAAAGATCATTCTTCTCGCCGAGTCTTTGATCCAGCCCAGACCGCTGCTAAGTTGGCATCCAAAGCTGAGGTAAATATTCAGGTGCGGGCTCCTTGCATACCTGGGGAAAGCAGGGAGAATTTGCTAGACTTCCTCAACTAGCATTCTAAGAATGAAAGAATCAAGAGAGCTGGCTATGGTTACTTCTTTGGAAATCATCTTTGCAGGACTTGCACCTTTGGGTGTTTAGAAAAAGTAGTGTTTGAAGGTTCTTAGGATGAAGACTGGGATATATGAAAAGTGTTTCTGTGATGTTACGATAAAACCCTGTTTGTCTAGTGGTAATCAGCCTAAATCATCCGGAGAAGAATTGGGACTCTGAGTGGACCTGGCCTAGACTGGGTGTCACTAGGAAGATGCCCCACAGGTCATGTATTCTGGTCTATGGGACAGGGTTCTTCAGGCTTTTGAAAGCCCCAGAATCTGCAAGTTATGCAGATGAATCAAAGCACCATTACAAATGGATGCACATAAGTAAAACAATGACCTGAGCGGGATAATAGTAGATTTGTAGTCACAGATTGGACTGGGGTCAGCAAATTGCTCCATATAGATCATAGTCACAGGGATGTAACTCATCGTACAGTATGAAAGACGTTAGTATCATAAGCATGACTCAGCCAAGAAGAAAAGTGTTAAATTGTTCCTGAATACTTTGAGCATAGAGCTTATTTAGAAGTCTTTCAGTTAAATCCAGTATCTAATAGGGGTGGGACTTTTCCATCACAAGCATATCCTATAGATGATGGATTTCAATCTCTCTCCTTCCCTCCCTCCCTTCCTAAAGTAGGGAGTTATTGCATATCTATCAGGTACCAGCCCATCCATGCTAGGTACTGGTTAATCAGGAACTTAGAAACAGCACAGGATGCAGTGGCTTAGTTGACATCAGGAGAGCTGTGGACGGGGGGTGGAGGGAATTCCTGAGCATCTTCAAAGGCAAGCGAACACTTCCCCTGTAAGATTCACAACGAGCTCACAGGCTGCAATTTGCAGGCTGGAAGGGCAATCTGTGCAAAGTGGCCAGCTGATTTAGACTGCAACAGGGAAAATGAGATCCCAGAGTAAGAGTACTAATGAGGTACGTGGGGAAGGATATGGAATAACTGATGAGAGACATGAGTTCTGCTAGAAGGCTTGAATTCAACCTAATTTTGGAAGTGCTTCTTACGTGTAACTCTCCCTGCACTTTGTAAAGCAGTAGGGGACAAGTTACATTTCTGCAAATGGTTCTTCTAAGCACAGGGCTATCAGGCATTCCTGTAGCCAAACAGGGCACAGGGAAGCAGCAAACGAAGTGTTGCTTAGGCCCGCAGAGGGCTAGCTGGCACTGTTCCTCTCCCTGCTCTCCAGAGTGAAGCAGTGCCTGCGAGCACAGGAGAATTCGCTTCCTTTCTGAATTCTGTCACTCACTGTAAACTGTCTCATCATCACCATTTTGGGACCTTGACTAATAGTGACGCACATTCAGAAATGGAGCAAGAAGGGAGGGGTTGCTTCAGTCTTGAAGGGCTGTTAAATGTGTTTCCATTTTAAACATAATCAACTTTAAAAGTGTGCCATATCTTTAACCAAATGAGCCCAATATGGACCTCTAAAAATAGCTTGCTTTGAATGGGGATGAACTGCTGCTGTAATCTCACAGCACCCCTTTTCCAGGCAGGAATTCTCACGCAGAGTAACAGGTTATCTCTCACTGTCACTTGTGTGGGACTGGTGGTGGCTCGTAGCAAGATGAAAGGAGCTCCGTGGAAGCCTGTTGGTCCTATCTCAGGCTAATCCCACATTTTGCCACTGCTCTGGAAGGACTGAGATAACCCGGGACTTTGGAATTCCATGCTTAAAACATTTGCTTCCAGCAAGTCTGTTTTTCTTCTCTGTTCATGGTAGAAAACAAAATCATCTTAAAGTGTAATGAAAAAAAATGTTTCACGACTCTATACTGACGTAAAGTGATTTCTGATGTCTTAGCCTAACTAATTGTATAGGGTAAACATACTGCCACCAACTCCAAAGGCCTGATGTAGGATGAAAACTCCAAAATTCAGATATGGCTTTGAGCAACCATTGCGGGTGGTAGGACTCAGATGAGCTGAGGTGCGGGGCATATGTCTGTCCCTGTCCCTGCAGATGACTCCAACCTGTTGGTTAAGTGGAAACAGCTTTAGCTTCAGTTGTTACCTGAGGTTACGGTACTGTGCCACCACCCCCGCTCTCTCTGTAGGGTAGGGCTCAGCCAAGTGCCAAGAAAGAACCAACTGTTACTAGTGCCGTCGGAGCTTTGCTGCAGAACAGAGCCATGGGAGCAAAGAACGAGGTCTCAGGCAAGCCAGGTAAGTCAGCGTGCACCTCACCTCTCAAATAATGGCGTGGTGGTCACCGTTGGCTTTGGTATTCACCCATAGTCAGCAAAAGTTAAATTGACATCCAACATCACTTTTGGTGTGTTTGAGGTTAAAGATAGCTTGCAAAAGGGACTACTTCTTAATTTAACAGGACCACACAACTTGACAATTTACAGTCCTATTTGATTACAACAGCAGGAGTCTAGAATCATTCTGCAATCTACTAACATTGAAGAGATTGAGAATAAAACATCACATGGCAGGTGTTGTGTTGAAAATAAAGGGAGAGAGCTTCCTTTCTTAAATGAGCAATTTCTTCAAAGGAGAAGCAAGGCGTGACCACTGTGATAGTACCGACTATATGCCAGCCCTGTGCATTTAACACTCCCAGTCATTTTTTGAACATCTTACTTTACCTTTTATAGAAAGAGAAACTGAGGCTTGAAGAGGATGTTATTTTTCTAGGACACACAGCTGGTAGCCCACTGCCTGGATTAGACAGCTCCTAGGGTAACCCTTGCCTTAAGCTGCATGGATAATGTAGCAGTCTTGAACAAGTCATCAGTATGTGATCACCATATACCTTAAAGGCAGTGTGGCGTGTTTCATGGCCATAGTGGCACTTCTGGTCAGCAGTAATGTTTTGAAGGTATTATCAGAACTGGGGTACAAATTGCTAGTCTCATAATCCACCAAGTAACAGCACTAAAAGGCTCTATTAGTGTTTGAACTCCTCCTGAGTGGCTTATAAGGGACTAAAAAAGGAATTGATATTTTTAAAATGTTCCCACAGCTCTGTGAACTCAAGTCATTAAGGATTTTCTGGTAGTGGTGGTGTTTTGTTTTGTTTTGTTTTTCCTGCAACAATACAGTATTTTGTAATGTAAGTTTTTATTCCATTTTTTTATTGTAAAATAAATGTTGCGCAGCATCACCACCGTCCATCCTCACAGGCCTTTTCATCTTGTTTTTTCTTCAGCGCATGCTCGCAATACTTGTTTCCAGTCCTTGTGTGGAGTTGGTGATATACAGAACACATCTCCATTCTTTTCTTCATCCTCTCCCAATTTCTTTTTTCTAATTTTTTAAAAATTTTTACTTCTTTTAATCTACTCTCAATTTCTTGATCCCCTTCCCATTTGAGAAAGATCTACCTCCCTATTTCCTATTACCTATATTTTATTTTGCTCTTTATTTATACTTTGGGTTTCTTATGCAATTGAAACTACGTGATATTTAAGCATGTGTGTCTGATTTATCTCACTTAACGTTATGGTCCCAAGGTGCATTCACTGTCCTCCAAAACTTTATGGAAGAGTAGTACTCCATTATGTCTAAATATCACATTTTCTAAATGTCACATTTCCATTCATCTGTTGATGGACGTGTGAGTTACCTCCAAGATATAGCTATTATGAATTTCATGTTATAAACATGGGTATGCATGTATCATTTGTATCACTAATACGATGTCTTTAACTCTTCCAGGAAGATTCCTAGAAGGGAAATACCTGGGTCAAACAGAATTGCTAGGTTTGGTTTTTGGAGGAATTTCCATACTTATTTCCATAGTGGTTGTACTAGTTTACATTCGCATTAACAACGTGGAAGGGTTTGTTTTCTCCCCAAAGCTGTGCTAGCATTTGTTATTTCTTGATTTCTTGATGATAGCCATTATTCTTTTCCACTTTTAAAAGTGAAACTGTGTACCTATTAAACAGAGTTTACTTCTCATTGCTTCCTCCCCCAGTGCCTAGCAGCAACTACTTTGCTTTCTCCGCATATGGTCTTGAATACTGTGAGTACCTATGTAGATGAATTCATACAGAGTTGATCCTTCTGTGACTGGATTATTTCACTTAGCGTAATGTCTTCAAAGTTCATCCGTGCTGTAGTATATGCCAGAATGTCCTTCCTCTTCAAGGATTAATAACATAGCATTGGGTTTTACAACTGCTTATCCATTTACCCACTACTGTATGCTTGGATTGTTTCTGTGTTTTAGCTGTTGTGAATATTGCTGCTACAAACATGAATGTACATGTTTAAGACTCTGAGCTTTCCTGAGACTTAACATTGTGTTCCTTTGCGCATATACCCAGTAGTGAAACTGCTGGATTACATAAAGCTCTATTTTTAGTCTTCTGAAGAACAATGATGTTTAGTGGATATACTATTTTAACATTTCTACCAAGAATGCACAAAGTTCTATTTTTTCCACATCTCATCAACACTTATTATTGTTTGTAGTTTGTTTTGAGAAAGGGTCTCCTATGTTGCCTAAGCTGGCCTCAAACTCAGGATCCTCCTTGCCTCAGCCTTTAAATGCTGGATTATAAGTATGTGCCCCACACAAGCACACCCACATAGATTTTCTGCTTGGACAGTAGCTGTCCTGAAAGGCAGAAGTGGTGTCTCATTGTAGTTTTGATTTGCATTTCTTGGATGATTTGTGATGCTAAGAATCTTTTCAAGTGCTAACTGGCCACTTGTTTATCTTCTTTTGAGAAACTTCTGTTCTAGTCCTTTGCCTGTTCATGAACTGGTAACTTATTTTTTTGTTGCTGAGTTTTACTGGTTTTCTATGTATTGTGGATATTATCCTTATCAGATATATGATTTATAGAGATTTTTTCTTATTCTGTGTGGTGCCTTTTCACTCTGTTGATACTGTCTTTGGATTTATGTTTATGAAGTCCACTTTGTTTTTCTCATTGGTTACCTGTAGGGGTCATATCCAAGAAGTCATTGTCTAATCCACAATCACACACATTTACTCCTGCATTTTCTCCTAAAAGTTTTATAATTGTAGGTTTTATATTTAGGTCTTTGATCTATTTTGAGTAAATTTATATAGGATGTTAAGTAAGAATCCAAGTTCTTTCTTTTCCATGTGGATATCCAGTTTTCTCAGCACCATTTTTTAGAGACTGTTCTTTGCCCATTAATTGGTGTTGGGTCCTTGTGAAAATCATTTGACCATATATGCAAGAGTTTCTCTCTCTCTCTCTCTCTCTCTCTCTCTCTCTCTCTCTTTTGAGATACTGGGATTGAACCCAGGGACTTTTCATACTGTTGTATCCTCAACCCTTTTCATTTTTCATTTTGATACAGGGCCTCACCACATTGCGAAGTTTCTCAAGGTGGAGTTCAACTTGTAATCCTCCTGCCTTAGCTTCTCAGAGTACTAGGCTCACAGATGTGTACCACCTCACCCAACTAAGGGTTTATTTCTAGGCTCTTTATTTTATTTGTTTTAATGCCAATCCCACACTGTTTTGATTACTGTAACTTTGTAGAAAGTTTTCACATCAAAAACGTTAATCCTCTAAGATATTGCTAAGGTTGTTTTGGATATTTGGGGCTATTGAAACTCTATGAATTTTAGGGTGGTTTTTTTATTTGTGTAAAAACCATTATGAGGATTTTGATAGGAATAAATCTCATTAGGATTTTCAAAGAAATTTTGACATCTTTAGGATTTTGATAGAAATTTCATTGAATTTGTAGATTATTTGGGGCAGAACAGGCATTTCAACAATATCTCCCAATCCATAAGCAATGGGATATATTTAGATTAATTTATATCTGTAATTTCTTTCAACAGTGTTTTGTAGTTTTGCTTATTTGTTTGTTTTCGGATGCTAGGAATTGAACCCAGGGAGCTCAGTTTGGTAGACTGAGCTACATCTCAGCCCAGCCTGATTTGCAGTTTTTATCATACTGCCTTCCACCTAGTTAGTTAATTCCAAAGTAGTTTATTCTTTTTTGATACTACTCTAGATGAAATTGTTTTCATAATTTCCTTTTCTGATTGTTCTTTGTTAGTATATAGAAATGAAGTGGATGTGTATTGACTTTGTATACAGCTATCTTGCTGGATTCATTTTTTAGTTAAAGTGTTTGTGGGGCTGATGTCTTTGGGGTTTTCAACATATAGTTTTTCAGATGATAGCATCTGTGAACAGAAATAATTTTACTACTTCCTTTATAATTTGGATTTTTTTCCTTTCCTTTGCCTAATTGCTCTGGCTAGAAATTCCAGTATTGTATTGAATAAAAGTGATGAAAGTAGGAATCCTTACCTTCTTCCTCATCATAGATAGAGAAATTTCAGTCTTTGAACATGTAATATGATGTTCTCTGTGGGGCTTTCATGTGTGGTTTTTATTATGTTGAACTAATTTCCTTCTAATCTTAGTTTACTGGGTGTTTGTTTAATTATGAGAGGATGCTGTTTTGTCAATGCTTTTTTTGCATTGAGATGGTATAGTTTTCCCCTTTTATTCTACCAGAGTGGTATATTACATTGATCAATTTTCATATGTTGAACCATCCTTGTATTACAAGGATAAATTCTGGGCTGGGGATATAGCTCAGTGGTATAGCACCTGCCTGGCAACTACAAGGTCCTGAGTTTGATTCCTGGTGCAAAAAAAAAAAATAGATTCTGCCTGGTTGTAATATATAATCCCTTTAATATGCTGCTGAATTTGGTTTCCTAGTATTTTGTTGAGGTTTTTGCATAAATGTTCATAAAGGATATTTTCCTGTAGTTTTTTCATAATGTCCTTGACTGGCTTTGCTCTGAGTATAAAGCCAGCCTCATAGAATGAATTAGAAACTGTAGAATTTACCAGTAAAGTCATCAAGACTGTACTTTTTTTGGTCATGAGCTTTTTGGTTATTGATTTGTCCTCCTTACTAGTTATAGTCTATTTAGATTTTCTATTTCTTTATAATTTGGTCTTGGCTGGTTTTGTACCTTTTAGGAACTTGTCCATTTCATTGAAATTATCCAACTTGTTGCCATACAACTGTCTCATAGAATCCTGTTTCTGTAGAACCGGTAGTAATATCCCCACTTTCACTTCTGATTTTAGTAATTTGAATCTTCTTTTTTTCTCAATCCATCTAGCTGGTAGTTGTCAATTGCTTTATCTTTCCAAAGAAATAATTTTTGGCTTTTCTTTCTTATTTTTCTATTC